GGGGAGGGGGTAGAAAATGAGAATATTCAAGACCCAGCTGAAGGTGGGATTACTTACACTGTCAGGTACTGCACATACATCTACATGTAAGAATGAAACTATGTAGTTTTAACACTGCTGTTGTTAACAATGGCCTCCACACAGCTATGTTTACTGAAGGCAAATAGCTCATTCTCATTGTATTTGTCTGGGTCAAAGGGGAGGTTTAATCAATATTTTGGCTCAAATTGTCAAAATGCTGAAGCAAAGGAAGAAATTCAGCTTACCATAACTTATTGTGCATCTGTACTCTAATAGAGCACACTGTTTCAAACAAGCATGAGTTATATCGAAACCAGATAATTAATAATACAAGTATTTTTGCTTGCCCTCCATTGGCCACATTTTGCTGGACAGTAAGTTGTAAATCACTGTTTCTCTACCATAAACAGTGTTGGAACTATATGGATCTGGCAATTAAAGCCCTTAATAAAATAATCTGACTTAATCCTTATCCTGCCAGCTGGTGTCATCAATGTCCTATTCTGCCTATCACTCTGCTGAGAAAATTTTTCCAAGGCTATAATGTGGCTTTGAGCTCACTCACCCCATTTCCAAGTTTTGACCTCACTGAACTCATTACAAAACACAAGAATCGCATATTAATATCCTATTATTGAGTATAATTTAAACTTAAGATGCTTACTTTAGTTGAAGACATTTGACCAAAATTCTCTGCCCAAAATGCTCTTGAGGAATAGTAGCAGGAACCCTCTTTTCTATCCCTTCTTCCTGAAAAAAAAGAGTGGTTTTAAAAGCTAACTGAAAGGTCATACATTCCAGCCAAAACACAGTAAATTTTGCATAAAAGGACAACAACATAACTAACATTGAAAGTTGTTAATTTTGTTTTCACAAACGTGGGACAATGGGCAAAAAAGTATTAGTTTTACACTGCTATTTATAAAGGCAAACATAATTTACAGGTAAAGAAGTATCACCTTCTTTCCCTAAGTATTATAAGAAAAAGAAAAACAAGCAATATTGCTTGCC